CTCTCTTTAAAAAATCAATTACATTGATAGATTTTTATATGTTGAACCATCCTTGCATTCCAGAAATAAATTCCACTTGGTCATGGTGTTTAACACTTTTACTATCCTGCTGAATTCTGTTTGCTAACATTTTGTTGAGGATTTTAGTACCAATGTTCACAAGGGATATTGGTTTGTAGTTTTCTTTTCTTGTAGTGTCTTTGTCTGGCTTTAGTATAAGGATAATGTTGGCCTCATGGAATGACTTAGGGAGTATTCCCTCCTCTTCAATTGTAGTTTGGTGAATTGAAAGGGGAAAGTTTGAGGAGTATTGGTGTTAGTTTTTCTTTAAATGTTTGGTAGAATTCACCAGTGAAGCCAGCATGTCCAGGGCTTTTCTTTGTCAGGAGATTTTCAATTACTGACTCAATATCCTTACTACTTATAGATCAGCTCAGAATATCTATTTCTTCATGGTTTGGTCTTCAGAGGTTTTGTGTTTCTCAGAATTTGTCCATTTTATCTAGGTTACAGTTACTTATAATACTCTCTTACAACCTTTTCCATTTCTGTGGAATCCATAGTGAAGTCCCTACTGGATTTGGACCTCAGTTATGTGATACTTGTCTTTTTCTGACTGGCTTATTTCACATAGCATAGTACTCTCCAGGTCCCTCCTTACTATCTCAAAGAGTAAGAGATCCTTCCAGAAAATGGGCTTTCACATTTATTAGCCTAGAGCTGCATGTGGTATGTGCTCTTGAAAACAAACAGCCACAAAAACTGTCCTCATATATCGTATTATTTTATTTATTCTTAAATTTATATATTTCTTTATTTGTACTTATTGATTAGCCTTGCTAAAAAAATTCCTATTTTGTTGGCCTTTTAAAAGAATCAGCTCTGAGATATATTTATTTTACTCTCTTTTAATTAATTGCTCTCTCCCCTCCCCCCTCTTTCCTAAGATGGTTAATTTTCTTTGTCCCTAGTTACTTCAACTGTATGCCTAACTTGTCACTAAATCCTTATTTAATAACATAAAGTATCTAAAGCTATATATTTTCCTTTGATTAGAGCTTTGGCCTTCTCATGATTGTTTTCATATGTAACATACTCATTGTCACAAATTTCTGTGTAGTTTTTACAAGAGAGAGTTTTTTAATTTCCAGGTGCTTTGATTTTTTTTTTATGTGCCTTAATAGTGACTGGTTTTACATTGTAACTCAGCCTGTGTGAGATAGGATTACCTTTATTTCTACTCACATTGTGAACCCTTGTCCCAGCCCTGCCACCATCTCCTTTTCTCAATTTGTGTACGTTGCTATGCCCATTGCTGTGTGGTCTGTTGCTCCATTCCTTGTCCATATAATTTCCATTTTTTAAAAAAAACTAAATTTAAGCTTTCTTTGTGGCTTACTCTAGGATCAAATTTTATAAAAATTTTTAAAGAATATGTATTCCCTTCTTATAGGTTTCAAAGACAGAAATATATAATATGTATGTGTTTTATTATGATCTAAATCCTTTATGTTTAAAAAATATATATGCCATATTTATTACTATCAAAGTTTTATAAAACATGAATTCAGATTCTCTATTTTTTGTTTATGTGATCTGTCAGTGACTTAAAAAGATGAATCAATCTTCTACCATGATTTCAGCTTGTTTGTTTTTTATTCAAATTTTCAGATTTTGCTTTATACAATTTTATTTTATGAAATTTAGTAATTAAAGATTTATAACTAGTCTGCAGCCTTTTTCTGTTCCTTGGCCCCATCCTTCATTCTTCCGTCTTAAATTCGACCGAGTCTCAAACACAACACTGCCCCTCTCTTTTTATTGGCATCCACCTCTCCCCACGTCTTTGCACCATCTGACATGTTTAAAGTGTGACTCTCTAAACCTCATTGGGATAGGTTTCATTTTTTGACCCAACTTAGGAATATTTATCTTTAACAGGAGAGTTTAAACCATTCATATTTATTGTCCAACTGATCTATGTAATATTTCTGGCATATAATGTTATGCTTCCTGACTCTTTTCCCCTTCATTTTCTACATTTGATGGTATTTCTCAAGTTTCTTTGCTCTTTTTTTTATTTATTTCTCTGTTATCTACGGAAATTCCTTGCAGAATTTTTTAGGCAATGGTATATAGGTGTCATAGATCTGAGCCCGTTTTCCCCCTGAGACTTTCATTCTTGTGCATGAGAGATAAGTTGACTGGGAAGATATTGTCGGTTCATTGCATTTTTCTCAAAATTTTGAGGTTATCATTTCATTGTCTTCTGTCTGCAATGCAGTGGAGAAAAGTTTGATGCCTCTATTAGCTTTCTATTGCCACATAATAAGTTACCTCAAAACGTAGAGATTTAACACAATACGCATTTACTATCCTGTAATTTATTCAGCTTATGAATTTAGGAGTGGCTTGGCCGGGTGAGTCCAGCTCAGGAGCCCTGATGAGGTGCAGTGGGCCAGGGATGAGGTCATTTGAAGTCTTGACTGGGATAAGGACCTGCTTCTAAGACAGCTCACTTCCCCGGCTGTTGGCTGGAAGCCTCTTTCCTCCCTCGGGGGCTTCTGCAAAGGCTGCTTGAGAGGGTTCCCGTTCAGCTGGCTCCCCCTTCAGCCAGCAATCCAAGAGAACCGGGCAAAAGCCACAGGATCTTCGATGACCTAGTCTTGGATGTCACACACCATCTCTTCCAGGTTATTCTGTCGGTCATACAGGCTGGCGATGATTCAGTGTGTGGGAGGACTTGGTAAGGACATGGATACCATGAGGCAAGAATAATTGGGGGCCACCTTGGAAGCTGTCTCCCACAGAGACAAAATTATTTTTCCCTTTAGGTGTTTCCTGTATTTTGTCATTGCTATTGTGTTCTTCCCTATGTAAATATTTTTTAAAGTTTTCCTTACAATTTTATTGTAATCAAAATTTCTTTCTTTGAGTTAGAGCAAAGAGTAAAAATTATTTTTCCCTTTAGGTGTTTCCTGTATTTTGTCGTTGCTATTGTGTTCTTCCTTATGTAAATATTTTTAAAGTTTTCCTTACAATTTTATTGTAATGAAAATTTCTTTCTTTGAGTTAGAGCAAAGAGTAGGATTTTCTACCAGTACACTTTATTATGTGGGCCTCTTTTAATTTATTAAGTGTGTGATGTGTATGCGGGGTGTGTGTGTGTTGTGTTGGGGGCAAGGGGAGCAGGGCCAATCCGGGTGCCATCTTTCTGGCCCCTAGGTTCTCTCCTCCCCCACCTGTAGTAGACGGATCAGGGTGGGATACACGGCACTCCCACTGGGTCTCTCCCCGATGGGGGCAGCAGGGTGAAGGGTAGTGGAGGACAGAGCTGTGCCCACATCCGGTGTTCAGCTGTGAGCGGCCTCCCTGACTAAGGTCCCACAGTGGCCATTACCAGTGGTTGATGTCTCTGGACCCGTTGGCTCTGACTGTCCAAGCTCAACTCCCTGTGGCTTCCAGGTTCTTCAGGGCCCTGGCCTGCCACTCACGCTACCTTCTCAGCCCCATCTCACCGTGTTGTCTCCGCCCTCCTCTTGAACCAGCCTCTGCCTGGGCCGGAGCTCCCTTCCTGTGGCTGGCTTTCTGTCCGGCACATCTGTCACCTCCTGCAGGAAGCCCTCCTGGATTGCCTGGTGCTTCCACTGAGCTTGCTTTGATCTCGGCAACTGTCAAAGCCTACATACTGGGTCACAGCCATTACTTGCAGGATCATGGTCTCTTGTCCTATCCATGTCCCCATGTCAGGGAGGCAGGGTCATGTCCTGTTCACCCCTAACTATGCCAGGACCAGCCCCTCTCACCGTAAACCCAGGTGTAGTAACACCTGCCCCCCCCCCATCCACCTCCTCTCAAACATAAGAGGTTCCCACAGCAGTGATGCCCCTAACTGCGCTAAAGTGCCCTGATGCCTGTCTCCCCCAAAGCTCTCCAGGCACTGCCTCACCCCCCAGCCCAGCGAGGGCCCAGCCAGCTAGTGCTGCCCCCCAGCAGGACCCCGAGTTCCTGGCAAGGCCACATCTTCTTTGGGCCTGCCCTGTGGTCTGGGGGCTTTGAGAGGCAGTTTGGGGGCGGAGGGGGGGGGTGAATCAGGTTGCAGGGGTCTCCACCAGAACATCTGAGCCGAGCCCCTTCCCCACCTCCCCACAGAGCGTTCTCATTCCTCTCACATCTGGTCCCTACGCCCAGCCAGCCCACCCAGCCTCCAGGTCCTCTCCCTGCCTGTGTGGCCACAGGATGGGCCCGGGCACAGGGAGCAGCAAGCGACAGGGAAACAGATCCGTGAACACCTGCCGGGGCACAGCCATTGGCTCTGGGAAGGTCCCCCAGTCCCGGGCACCCACTGCCTGCCAGCCCCCTATTCCACCCCCAGGCCTTTCTCTCTAACCCAGTGATGGCGAACCTTTTGAGCTCGGCGTGTCAACATTTTGAAAAACCCTAACTTAACTCTGGTGCCGTGTCACAGATGGAAATTTTTTGAAATTTGCAACCATAGTAAAACAAAGACTTATATTTTTGATATTTATTTTATATATTTAAATGCCATTTAACAAAGAAAAATCAACCAAAAAAATGAGTTCGCGTGTCACCTTTGACACACGTGCCATAGGGTCGCCATCACTGCCCTAACCAGTCAGTGTGGGGTCATTTGGACAAATAGGAATCAAGTACCAAGGCCCGTCCCCACCCCAGCCTGGACCTCACTCACCCCTCCCCTGCTGCCCTTCCTCCCGGTCACCCCCAGCTGACCCCCCTGCCCTGCCCCCAGCACCCTCCCCAGGGTCCTCACGATGCTTCCAGTTCCCAAGAATCGGGCTGTCTTCCGACGGAGGCTCCAGGGCAGGGACAGCGGCGAACGTGCTAATCCCACCCAGAACGGAGCCCAAAGCTCGCGGTCTCTGTGCCCACTCAATGCTTGTGGCCATCCAGGGTCCCTTAGCCCAGGTGCTGGCTGACCCTCGGTGTGTGCCACCCCCACCGTTGGGACCAGGAGGGGCTCCAAGACCCACGCACGGGCCTCTGTCTGCAGCGGCTGCTCTTCCCTGTTGCAGGACGTCAGGGACCGCCCACCGGTGCTGCCAAGATGCTCCGAGGCTCCCGCTCCATCCTCCTGCTCTGGGGCCTCCTGGGGACCCTGCACGCCCAGCAGCAGGAGGTCATCGCACCCGACACATCGGAGAGAGGCAGCAACTGCCCAGGTACAGCCGCAGGGGCCGGGACTCCTGGGTGACCAAAGCGGCAGCAGGGACAGCCGGTTGGGAGCCAGGGCCCAGCGTGCTGGTGAGGCTGGTGGGGGGCAGAGCCCAGGACCACCCGTGTGCACAGAGCCCCAGGATGGCTCACCGCAGGCCCTCCGTGTGCAGCCCCCTGACTCCTCCTGTGTCCCCCAGAGAAAGCCGACTGCCCGGTCAACGTGTACTTTGTGCTGGACACCTCGGAGAGCGTCACCATGCAGTCCCCCACCGACAGCCTGCTCTACCACATGCAGCAGTTCGTGCCGCAGTTCATCAGCCAACTGCAGGACGAGCTGTACCTGGACCAGGTGGCCCTGAGCTGGCGCTATGGCGGCCTGCACTTCTCCGACCAGGTGGAGGTGTTCAGCCCGCCGGGCAGCGACAGGGCCTCCTTCACCAAGGGCCTGCAGAGTATCCGCTCCTTCCGCCGTGGCACGTTCACCGACTGCGCGCTGGCTAACATGACCCGGGAGATCCGGCAGCACAGGAGCAACGGCGCGGTCAACTTCGCGGTGGTCATCACCGACGGCCACGTCACTGGCAGCCCGTGCGGTGGCATCAAGATGCAGGCTGAGCGGGCCCGTGAGGAGGGCATCCGGCTCTTTGCCGTGGCCCCCAACAGGAACCTGAACGAGCAGGGCCTGCGGGAAATCGCCAGCACGCCCCAGGAGCTCTATCGCAGCAACTACGCCACCATGCTGCCCGACTCCACCGAGATCGACCAGGACACCATCAACCGCATCATCAAGGTCATGGTGAGCGACTGCAGCGGCCCCTCCTCCCAGGGCCACGGTCCACCCACTGGGTGTGGGGTGGGGAGTGAGGTGCAGAGCCCTGGGACCTGGTCACTGGGCATCAGCGACCCCCTTGGTGAATGAAGGGGGTGAACTCTGGTCAGGGCCCTGCCTTCTCCGATGTCCCGCGTTCTCTGCTGGATGCGGAGCTGCCCGATCACCAGCTCGTGGCTAACCAGGGTTTCTCTCTGTCTTTTCTGCAGAAACATGAGGCCTATGGAGAGGTGAGAGGCATTTCTGTCCATGCCAGCCCCGCCGGGTGTGCCCTGGGGCCTCTGAGGCGCTGACCCAGCAAAGATCACACGCCTCGCTTTGCCAGCTCCCTGGCACTCCCCGGAGGCAGGGAGAGAGACCCCTCTGCTCCACGTAGGGCCTGAGACTCTTGAGTTTGGGGCAAAGGGCTTCTGACCTGAACCAGGCTGTTTAAACCCAGGAGGTCGGCATTAGGATCACCCACTTAGCACACGCCAAGTGGATGAGCGTTGAGTTTGAGGGTGGCTCTCTGGACTGCCGGGCTCCGTGCACCTGAGCCAGTCCAAGAGAAGATGGGCGGCGGTTGGGTGCCCAGCGCAGGATCTGCAGCCCTGGGTCCCTGACATGGCCCCACTCCTGTGCATCCCAGCTCACAGCCCAGGAAGGAGTGCTTCCCACTCAGCTAGGCTCCTACAAGCACACCCTCCCCTAGAAAGCTGCTCACAACACAGTGGGGTCACACGCAGGCACAAGGACGCCTAGCCAACCGCTATTGAGTCCTTGCTACTGTCAGTCATTGCTCAACCCAGCCTCGGTTTCCAAAACTTGACTAGAGGCTATGTAGAGCCCCACCCTGGTGGGCACCTCCTGAGCCTGGTCCTTCATCCAGCCCCGTGCTCGGACGGCCCACCCCCAGCAGGCCGGGGACCCGGGCAGTATCCTCCCTCCATCTCTCCCTCCCTCTCAACTGGGACCCATCATTCTGGCCTCACTGCCTTCTTGTTTCAGTGCTACAAGGTGAGCTGTCTGGAGATCCCCGGGCCCCCTGGCCCCAAGGGCTACCGCGGACAAAAGGTAAGCTACCCAGACCACCCTGGGGTCTGCCCTGCCCGGAAGCCCCCGCCCCCTCTTGAACTATGAATTCAGGGCCAACTAAACCTCCATGGGCGCAACACTTCTGACCCGGAAGGAACTAAAATTCCATTTTTATATACTTCCGTTTAAATGGCATTTTGAGAAGAGTAGGGGTACTTTTTAAGTGAAGATTTGCCATTAAAATACTCTTATAAAGTAATCAAGTTGGTGTCTTGAGCAGTGTGCCCTCGAGGGTGGGTGCCGCCTAGGCCGGTGTCGCCGCTGCAGAGGCCTGGCGGGTGCCCCACCCCGGGGCTGTCCGTCAGGCTCAGAGAAACAGGATCAAAACGGGCCCTGGTCTGACAGGCCAGGGTTCTCAGGGGCAGCTGGCCCTCCTCTAGGACGTCCCGCGGCATTGCCGTTGTCACCTGGGTGGGACCAGCAGCCAAGTCACTCTAACCCTGAGACTTACTCTTCTACCTCCCAGAAGCCAGTGACAGGGTCCCTAGTGCCCCACCCTGCCCCTCCCTGCCTTGGTTTACCCCTTTTGTGCTGTCTGCTTGCAGGGCGCCAAGGGCAACATGGGGGAGCCTGGAGAGCCTGGACAGAAGGGCCGGCAGGTAAGTGCCCCCCCACCCGCTGCAGCAGCTCCTGCTCCCCAGGCTGAGGTTACACCCACGGCCCTCTGTTCTTTTCCCACAGGGGGATCCAGGCATTGAAGGACCCATCGGATTCCCAGGACCCAAGGCAAGTTGCCCCTGGCCCCGTCCCAGTGGCTGGGGACTTGGGGACAAGCCCAGGGCTGCCTGGCTCCAGGTGGGGCCAGCCCATAGGATCGAGATGTCTCTGGCCCAGCAAGCCCTCCCCCGCTCTCCCCCCAGACCCAGGGAAGTGAAGCACCATTCTGAGTGTTGTCCCCAAACCTAGTGTCTAGCCTGAGCCCTGGTCAGGCCTCCCCGCCTGAGGCCACCGGCCACCCCCCGCTCTGGTGGCCTGCTGGGTCCCGTGCACACGCCCCGCCATAACGCTGCTTTTCTTTCCTTCCGACCTCAGGGTGTTCCTGGTTTCAAAGGAGAGAAGGTGAGATTTCAAGTCGGAGCAGCCAGACTGCACACAGCCTCTGCGTGAGCCTCGGCCACAACTCCCCAGTGTCCTCAGCGAGCCCGCCTGTGGCTCCTGCTGGGGGCATGATGGGCTTCGTGCTGGTGGTGGCCTTGGTCTGGGGTCCTTCTGGCCTCATGTTTGCCGAGGGCAGACTTGGGTCCCTAAGGCAGCGGGTCTGTGATGCTGGAGATCTGAGCTAACGGCCTCACTTTCCTTCTGCAGGGAGAATTTGGAGCCGATGGGCGGAAGGTAAGCCAGGTGGTGGGCTGGGCGAGCAGGGCACCCCCCTTCCTGCTGCTCCAAGGGGATGATGATCAGGACTGAGGAGAGTCTCTCTTCCTCCTCCCCACAGGGCGCCCCCGGCCTGGCCGGCAAGAACGGGACCGATGGACAGAAGGTAGTGCTCCTGGGTCTGCGTCCTGGGCCGGGCATGAGGGTCGTGCACAGCGGTATCTCAGTCTCTCAGATCCCTCCCTGGGGCCGGGCCTCTAGACCTGGCCCCCTGGCCACTGCCCGCAATTTGTGGCTTCAGCACCCCCAGTTTCTACCTGTCCAGGGGATGCAGGACAAACGAGGGCATCACAAGAGCATAAATAGGCATTTGCTTCTTAAAACCAAGGCCGAGCCCTGTAGGAACTTCCAAGTCTACTCTGCAGAACCTCAGAATGGCCTGAGTGGTAGTTCGCATACATACACACATGTACACAAGCATCAAGTGCAAAATCAACCGCCGACATGTCTCACATGCACACATGTCTCACATGCACACAGGCATGCACACACATGAAGGGGGCACTGCGGACACTCATGCTCACATCTGCAGCCAGGGACTCTCCCTCCTCCACAGAGATGCCATCGTAACATTCGAGCCATTAAAGGGCACAGTCACACGCGTGTGCCCAGTGGGTATAGACCAGCATGGACTTCGCCTGCCATTTACACCTGTCATTGGTGCATCGTCCCTGAATCTCACCCCTGACACATCTGCTCCCCTCTCGTCTTTCAGGGCAAGCTGGGGCGCATTGGACCCCCTGGCTGCAAGGGAGACCCCGGGAGTCGGGTAAGCATGGCCTTGGCTCCTCCTCACATTAAGGTGGTGCCCTGTAGAGGCTCCAGGCTCCAGGTGGGAGTGGGGAAGCTGGGAGTCCCTGAGCTTGGATTCTTCCTTCAGCTCTGCCCTGCCTGTCCCCAACCCCACCAGAGATCAGCCTGGGCTGGGGCCACAACAGGACGAAATGGCTTCTGGGGCTTCCCAGAGTCCTGACGAGCTCGGCTCTAGGGTTTGTCTGAGCATCCTGCCCAGCCCCGGTGGATTCTGGCCACTGAGACTCAGGCAGAGCGTCCAGTTCAGACATTGCGGGCGACGCTGGTCACCTTCCCCATGTCAGCTGACCCTGCGCTAATGGGGAAACCCCAAGTGCAGCTCGCAGCAAGAGACCCAGGACAGCCTCTCTCCCCCTTCCCTCACAGGGCCTCGACGGCTACCCAGGGGACGCAGGCAGTCCTGGGGAACCCGGAGACCAAGGTGCCAAGGTAGGCGGCCTCGCCAGGGTGGTGGCGGCCAGAGCAGACCGGGTCACTGCCCTCCAGGTGCCCAGCCTCTGGGGGAGGCATCTGGGCCGAGAAGCACAGCGGAGGGGACCTGTCCCCGCTGACCAGGCAGTCGGGGGGAGGAGGCTTAGGCGTGTTCTGCCTGGGAGGCTGTGGGGTGCCCATGCTGAGGGGGCTGTAGGGTGCCCTCAGGAGCTTCACCAGCTCATGTCTATCTCAGGACCGTGTGGCCCGGCTCAGGCAGCTGCGGGGTGCCTGAATGGCCGTAGCAGCAAGCCCACCCTTCTCCCAGGCCTCCAGGGGGCTCCTGTGGAAGGCTCTCAGATGCCTGTGGGGTTCTGCCTCTTAGGCCACCTGAGGCACCACTGTGCTGCCTGCAGCCACTCCCCTGGCTGCCCAGGACCCTGGAGGACCAGGAAGGCAGCCTGTCCCCGAGAAGCCAGCACGCACAGACAAGGCCCATGTCTGATTAATTCACCTGGAGCTGCATGGGGGCCCTGCCCCCCAAGAGTGTGCTCCGCCTACATGGGAGGGGAGGCACGAGCCCCCAGCGCCTCCAGAGCCCTGCCCCATGGCCAGCATCCAAAGGACGTGACGCTGATTTCTCCAAATCCTTCCAGGGGGACGCTGGCCGCCCAGGACGCAGAGGGCCCCCAGGAGAGGACGGGGCCAAGGGAAGCAAGGCAAGTGCCCTTGAGGGTCCCTGCTGTCCTGCCCCCGCCACTCATCAGAGTGCCCACTGGACCCACCGAAGTGGGAAGCAGTAGGGACAGCCCATGCCCTGAGCAGGCCACCAGCCTCTCTGTCCCACTGCCAGACCAAGGGAGGCCGAGCCTGCCGAAGTGGCCTGGGCCATCCTGCCTGGCTGAGCTGTTACCTCTCCGCAGGGCTATCAAGGCAACAACGGAGCCCCAGGAAGTTCTGGCGTGAAAGGAGCCAAAGGCGGGCCCGGGCCCCGGGGACCCAAAGGCGAGGCTGTGAGTTTACATCCTTCAGGCCCCTCAGGCCCCTCAGGCCCAAGGTCCAGAGCACGTCTCCTCCAGCTGCCTGCCCAGCCCTCCTGGCTGTGCCCTGCTCGGGGCCTCTGAGCCCGAGGGGTCCCCAGTGCCTCCATGACCCCATTACCACAGAGGAAGGGTTCAGCCACCCCCCTGCCAGACACTCAGTGCCCATGAGGTGGCCCGGCGTACTCACCTTGCCCTCCTGGCAGGGCACCTCTGAGGGCTCAGCATAAACCCGGGCACATGCTCCATGGGTCCCCTACAGCATCCTCACCCCACCTGGAGTGTCCTGCCTCAGGGCGGAAGGGCCCAGCCCCAGGGCTGATCCTCCAGGGGATGTGTCCTGAGGCCTGGCCCGGCCGGAAGGGGCTGAGTGACTATACCATAGCCGGTCCAAGCCAGGTCCCAGTCAGTCCACAGGAACTCAGCCTGGACAGACAGCTGACCGGGAGCCCTCCCTCATTTCCTAAATCCTCGGCTGGGACCAAACCCCCCTGGCAGAGAATGAGGATCTGGGCTGAAGCCCTCTTGAGGGGCCTCCAGACCCCAAAGCCAGAGTCCTCATGGGTAGAGTGTGGGTCCTCCTGTGGCCCCCACCATCAGGGCCCCCACCCACACACCCACTCTCTGCAGGGGCGCAGGGGAGACCCTGGCACCAAGGGCAGCCCAGGCGGCGAGGGCCCCAAAGGCGAAAAGGTGAGTGTTCATGTTGGGGAAACGGGGTGCGTAGACACGTCTGCCTCTGCACCGGGTTCTCACAGTGGTGCTGGTGGTTCCCGGTGACAAGGGAGAACAGAAGGGACCCGGGGCCTCTGTCGGTGGGACACCCTCTTCAGGGTCTGGGGAAGCAGGCGGCAGCCAGGGCGCCCCCGCCTGCACTGCCCACTGGGGAAGCTGGGCGGGGCAAGCACAGCTGTGCAGGCTGCGGGCTGCTCCTCAGCACCCACCACACCGGCTCCTGGGGCTGGTGCAGGAGGTCCTGTCTCCATGATAAATCTGAGTTTCCCGTGAGGTATGGAGAAGGGCTCAGAAGAGGGGCCCCCTCCTCTGGGAATGCGTGGGGACCCCTGCCCTGAGGGGCTGAGCGGGCAGGGCCGCTATCTCAGCCTCACCCTCCCAACCTGGGGTCCTCTCCAGGCAGTTCAATGGCCCCTCCTCCACCTCCTCCCACACACACCACAGATAACTGGGCCTCTCTTCTCACAGGGCGATCCTGGCCCCGAGGGACCCCGGGGCCTGGCTGGGGAGGTTGGCGGCAAAGGAGCCAAGGTAAGTGGGTGGCAGGCGGCACCCAGCACCCTGGCTGGAGGGGGATGAGCCTGGGACCCCCTGTCCTTCCCTCCCTGCAGACCCTGCCAGGTCTGTGGTCAGGGCTGAGGACTGAGGCCATGCCCAGGACCTCCTGGGGGGCAGCGGCCCTCCCCTCCCCATCCTTCGCCGTCTACAGTGCTGATGACAGGATCTCTGAGGCGCCCTTTCTTTCCAGGGAGACCGCGGCCTGCCTGGACCCAGAGGCCCCCCTGGGGCTCTGGGGGAGCCTGGGAAGCAGGTCAGTGGCAGGACACTGGGGAGGGGCCTGTGGTTCTGGGACTCAGGTCCCCGTCTGTCCTTCAGCCTCAGCGTCTCACTCCCCTGCTCTGCAGTCCTCTTGTCCTGAGCAGGACACTGTCCCCTCACATCCTGGCCCTGCTCTGAGGGGTCCAGCTTTACCAGGTCAGGGTGGTGAGCCAGAGGCAGAGGTGGGTCCTGGGAGCCCCAAGGGGGGCATGTGGAAGAGGAGGGACCAGGCAGTGACCCTGAGGGCAGCAGGGCAGCAGGGTAGTGTTGCCTAGTGGTCAGAGCTGGACATAGTCAGTCTGCTTGTGCCAACTCCCCACTTTCTCTCTGACCTCAGGGATCTCGGGGAGACCCCGGTGATGCTGGTCCCCGCGGAGACTCCGGACAGCCTGGTCCAAAGGTACACCCCCTCCTGCCTGGATTGGGAAGAGGTGGGGGGAGGGTTAGGCTGTTCTCAGCTCTAGCCTGGAGTGTGCCTGCCAGCCCTGGATGTGGGAGGACGGCAGGGGGCCAGGCAGCCCTCCCGTCCTCACCTGGGGGGTAGCACACCCTCCCCAAGGCCCCATCTGGTCAGACCAGCCGCCCAGACCCTGGGCCTCGGTCCATGCTGACTATTCATTCACATTTCCCTCTGACCTTCCCTGACCGGCCTCCCCCTTCCTCCAGGGAGACCCTGGCAGACCTGGATTCAGCTACCCAGGACCCCGAGGAGCGCCTGTGAGTCCTGGTGTGGGATTGGAGCCCCCAGGGAGGGGTGGGCATTGACGGGAGGGCCCTGAAGATTCCCTCTAGTTCCCTGGAGGGCCTCCCCACGGGGGACAGGGTGCGAGGGGCTCGGGAGTCACACGTTGAGTGCAGACTCGGGTCCTCAGGAATTGTCTGGGACTCAGCCCAGGCAGCATTCGCCCACAGATTGTGACAACTGAGACCAGGGAAGGGAGGAGGCAGCAGACAGCCTCCAGGTCCCCAGCTATGCCCCAGGGGTCAGCACACCAGCTCTCGGGGGTCTGTGCTGAGTAACCCCCACCTGTGCTTTCTTCCAGGGAGAAAGAGGCGAGCCAGGCCCACCTGGCCCCGAGGTACGGAGGGCCCCTCTGCACCTGCCTTGGGTGGTCGGTGCCCTGCTCCGGTGGCTGGAGCGCCGCGCCCTCACCCCGGGCTTGGCACCAGCAGCTGCCCCATGCTGAGTGCTGTGTGTGGTCGCCAGCTGGCTGAGTACTAGTCTCTCTCAAACCAAAACCCGTGCTCGCCTGAAACGCCCTGTGCTGCTGCCACCTCACTGACCCCAAGAGCCAGGCCCGGGTTTTCCTGGACAGAACACGTCTGTGTCCCCGGAAGACCCACTGGAGGTCTTGGGAGACTGGGAGGGGGCAAGCAGAGCTCTCCCACGATGTCCCTCCACCGGGGCTAACCTGTGTCCTGTGTCCCAGGGGGGCAGAGGTGACTTCGGAGTGAAAGGAGCACCTGGGCGGAAAGGAGAAAAGGGCGAGCCTGTAAGTGTCCTCCTCATCCCTCCTCCCTCCTCCTTTCTCAGCCCTCCTCTCTCCTTATCCCTCCTCCTCCCTCCTGCTCCCTCCTTCTCCATCCTCCTCCTCCTCTCTCCTCATCCCTCCTCCTCCTTCCTCCTTCTCTCTCTTCATCCCTCCTTCTCCCTCCTCCTTTCTCAGCCCTCCTCCTCCTCCTCTCTTCCCTTCCCTCCTCCTCTCTCCTCCTCCCTCCTCGTCTCTCCTCATCCTAGAAGCAAGGGAGGTGTATAGGTGTTTGCTGAGCCGACCTGCTTTTTTTCCTTCTCAGGCAGATCCTGGTCCCCCTGGTGAGCCAGGCCCTCGGGGGCCAAGAGGATCCCCAGGACCCGAGGTAGGTCAGTTCCCCGTCCATAGGGCCCTCAGGCCATAGCCTCTGGGCCAGTCAGGCCAACACACACCCTGAACCACAGGGCTCTGCCTGTGGTGGAAGCCCAGGGCCAGGTGCAGGGACCCTGCTCAGCCCCAGTGGTCACCTCTCACTGTCGTCCTTCTCCTCCAGGGAGAGCCTGGACCCCCCGGAGACCCCGGCCTCACGGTAGGTACCAGTTGGGGATGGAATCAGTGTCCCTCCTAAAACCGAAAAGCAAGGACAGTGTCAGAGGGCGAGGTCAGAAGGAGTGGGGTCAGCAGGCGAGGTCAGCAGGGGTGTTAGCATGAAGTCAGCAAGTCACGGTCAGCAGGGCAAGGTCAGTGGGGGGGTTCAGCAGGAGGTCAGCAGGGTGAGGTCAGAGGCGAGGGGAGCAGGACTGCAGACCCCTGGCCCCTCTCGGGTTGCCGTCCTGGCTGGACTGACACACTGTGTTGCAGGAGTGCGACGTCATGACCTACGTGCGGGAGACGTGCGGGTGCTGTGGTGAGTCTCAGTCCCCGCACGGGGGTGCTGCTGGGTTGCCCGGCTCTCACCCAGCAGTCAGGGTCATCATCCAAGGGTTGGGGTCACGCCCAGAGGTCGGGGTCATAGAGTCCCACCCTCCCCCTGGTGGTGATCATTTCCCACGGTGCACCGGGCTGTGCGCCCTGTGGGGGGTGTCCTGGGCGGGGGCCGGTGCACGCAGCCATCGCCCCTCTGCCGGCCCACAGACTGTGAGAAGCGGTGTGGCGCCCTGGACGTGGTGTTCGTCATCGACAGCTCTGAGAGCATCGGCTACACCAACTTCACACTGGAGAAGAACTTCGTCATCAACGTGGTCAACAGGCTGGGGGCCATCGCCAAGGACCCCAAGTCCGAGACAGGTCAGCTGCACCCTCAGGGCGGGGGCAGGAGACCCTGGGCAGGACACCCTGACATCCAGTCCTGGGAGGGATGTTAGCTTGGCCAAGGGTCCCACGGCCCCCACTTGAGGGTGGCGAGCGCGTGGGGTGACGCAGACAGCCTCTCACGCCCGCACCCGGCCGCCGCAGGGACCAGAGTGGGCGTCGTGCAGTACAGCCACGAGGGCACCTTCGAGGCCATCCAGCTGGACGACGAGCGCATCAACTCGCTGTCCAGCTTCAAGGAGGCCGTCAAGAACCTCGAGTGGATCGCGGGCGGCACCTGGACGCCCTCCGCCCTCAAGTTCGCCTACAACAAGCTGATTAAGGAAAGCCGGCGCAAGAAGACCCGCGTGTTCGCAGTGGTCATCACGGATGGCCGACACGACCCCCGGGACGACGACCTCAACCTGCGGGCGCTGTGCAACCACGATGTCACAGTGACGGCCATCGGCATCGGGGACATGTTCCATGAGAAACACGAGAGCGAGAACCTCAACTCCATCGCGTGCGACAAGCCCCAGCAGGTGCGCAACATGACGCTGTTCTCCGACCTGGTGGCCGAGAAGTTCATCGACGACATGGAGGACGTCCTGTGCCCGGGTGAGCGGCGCTGGGCCTCCTGCCTCCCCGGCCTGCCCAGCCCTTGTCCCTGCAGGAGGGAAGGGGACCCTGGGAGGGCAGGGGCTGGGTGTCTGTGGGCCACCGAGGGAGCCCAGCCCGCCCTGGACAGAGGAGCCTGACCAGGACCCCTGGCCTCCTTTCCTCTCTCCTAGACCCCCAGATCGTGTGCCCGGACCTTCCCTGCCAAACAGGTAACACGGGGAGCCACCGAGCAGCCCTCAGACTAGCAGTGACGGGGGCCCAGAGGACCTTGCAAGGAATGCACTGTGGGCCCCCCGCCTTAGTGAGGCCCATGGGTTTCTCAGCCCCCTGGGCCTCAGCATGTCTGAGAAGGGGCTGGGGGGCCCAGGGTTTGGTGTCTCCAGTGCCATTGCTGTCCCACCCACTTGGCACATGTGGGGAGGGGTGCTGAGGGCCTGGCCCTGAACTTGGTGCACAGGGGAGAGACAGACCCCCAGGGTCATGCCCCTGGCCGCCAAAGGTGAAAGCCCTGGATCCAGTAAAGAAAATGGTTAATTTAAAACCTTCTGGGAGGTGAACACAGAGGCTAATGGCTCCCTGAGGCCTCTGGGGGCTCATCCATCTTCCCTCTGGGAAGGACTCCAGCCTGTGTTTAGGGGACCCGCCCAACTGGTGCATTGTGTGCGTGGCTGGCCCTGGAGGCACAGAGAGGCTGTCCCCAAGGGGTCCCCTCAAAATAGCGTTGTCACTCCTCTGGGCATCATGCTGCCACCTCTGCCCCAGGGTGGCAGGAGCTGAGCCCCCTTTGGCACTCCCTGCGTCCTGCCGGCCTGGGTCTTGGAGCCATTGCTGGCCCCTCCCGCTGGGATATGGGCACCTGCCTGTCCCCTCCCAGGAGCGCTGAGGTGGGACTGGAGATGGCTCTGGAAGGCGGAGCTGCGTAGAGGGGCGGGGCCGTGTTGGCAGGTTGGCAGAGGGCACCCACATCTGCGTGTACACTGGGCTTGTGCACAGGCTCCTGGCCCGGCAGCCAGGGCCCACCAGGCAGGTTCGAAGGTGCTGAGGTGCCTGAGGGAAGGAACATATTGAGTGGGGGCCAGGGTTCCCACTTATTCTGACAGAGAACTTTCAAGGAAATGCTCATGGAAGTCATACGTGTGACCCAGCTGTGGTGTCATCCAGAGACTGCCTGGGCGTGGGGTCCCTATGGGAACGGCTGTGTGTGGTGGCCAGAACCACCCGAAACCCTGCTGGGGTGTGTCCCGTAGTAAATGTGACCCCTCTAGGCTAGAAACCAGACCCCAGACCCCGGTGCCCAGGCCAGGCAGTGGCCCGGCATCCTCGCCCGGCCTGGACCTGTGTTCCATGCCAGCGGAGGCTCTTTACAGCTGCTCCCGACCGCGCTGAGGAAGGTCCCTCACTCCGTGCGGCTCAGTCCTCCCGGGAATGAATGGCTTTGTCAGACGACTTGTCTGGTCTGTAGGTACGATCGGGGCTGCTGCTTCAGCCTGTTGCTGTGACAGATGCGGTCACTGGTTTTTGAATGCTGAACCAGCCTTGCAGGCCAGGGGCAAACCCCACTTAGTCACGGAGTATCGGGATTTTTATGTTGTTGGATTTGATTTGCTGATATTTTGTGGATTTTTTTTGTAATCTCTGCTCATGAGAGATCTTGGGCTGCAGTTCCCTTTCTTGTGATGTCCTTGTCTGGTGTCAGCGTTAAACGCTGGCCCCCAGGATGGTGATCTCCCTTCCCCTCGAGGACCTGACAGAGAAAAGGAAGGGGCCCCTGGAAGACCCCTCCCCACCCTCTTTCAACTACCCGCCTAGTACTAAACTCAAACTCACCCTCCTCTAAAGCGACTAGAAATTTCCAAGTAAAATAGACATTGTGACCAGAGAAAAGAAAGCAGACATAACTATAGAATATGGGGGGGGGGGGGGGGGGGGGGGGGGGGGGGGGGGGGGGGGGGGGGGGGCGGGGGCCTGCCGCCGGCTGGGCACTGTCCTCGGCATTTGGGGGCTGCAGACAGGCATTGGGGTGAGGCTGCCACCTCTGGCATGGCCCTGACCTTCAGGCCAAGCGGCCCCGTCCACCCAGAGGCCATGTGATTGTGTCAGGGCCACAAGACTCAAAGAGAAGCAAAGCCAGGCTCCGGGTGAAGGCGACAAAGACAGTTCTCATTCCGAGGTCACTACGGCGGGAGAGGAGGTCCACTTACCCCAAACAGAGGCAGGGGACTGGCTAACGGCCGCTGCGCAGAGGCCTGGGGGTGGGGAGGGGGTCCCTGTGACCAGGCCCCCCTGGGTGTGCTGACTGGCACATACACAGGAGAGAAACGGACTTCTCACCCCTTTAGGACCGGCAGCAGTGGTGCACGTTGTAGTAAGATGCCCACGGAAGTGAGGCCCTGCCCTCCCGGGGATGGGAGACAGAGCAAGAGCATCCCTGAGGGTTTGCTGCCCCCAGGTCCTCGAGGGGACAGTTCTGGGAGGGGGATCTATGTCCCCAAGGGCAGAGAAGATGTTGTAACTGCAGGCTCTCTACAGTATCTGTCCTGAGAGGGTCCTGTCACCAGGTTCGGGCTGCAACAGACTGAGTTCTCATGGCAGCGTGGAGCGTTTTAAGGAGCTGGGTCATCCCAGGCATGGCCTTGAGAGGTCAGCAGCCATACTGGCATCTGGTCAAGTCTCAGTGCAGCTGTGGGGCCGAGGGTCTTGTAGTTCTTCAGGCCTTGGGGACCAGAGGCCTTCTCTCCCGTCTCCTGGGCATGTGCCTGCTGCTGGCCCCAAAGCCCTTTCAGCTCTGGCACTGCGGCGTCCCGGTCTCCTCGTCCCACCCCGGCTGAGCCTCAGCCTCATTCCTGGCTTTGATCCCAACTCATCTCCGAGGAGAGAAGCCCGAGGAGGGCGGCTGGAGGCCCGCTCACGCTGACCGAGTCCCTTAAAGCCTTCTCTGGATGCCCCGCAGATGGACCGCGGCCTGGCGATGCGCCCCCGGTCACCTTCCTCCGCACGGAAGAGGGCCCGGACGCCTCCTTCCCCACGACCATCCCCCAGATCCAACAGTTGCTAAACGCCACGGAGCTCACGCAGGACCCGGCCGCCTACTCCAGGCTGGTGGCCGTGCTGGTCTACACCGCTGAGCGGGCCAAGTTCGCCACAGGAGGCGAGCGGCAGGACTGGATGGAGCTGTTCATTGACACCTTTAAGCTGGTGCACAGGGACATTGTGGGCGACCCCGAGACCGTGCTAGCGCTCTGCTGAAGCCGCGGGGCTGCCGGTGCTCCAGAGGCCGGGGCTGCCCCAGCTGGGCCGCATTCGCTCCCCGGGCTGCCCGGACCGCCCGCAGTGCTGGGGCTGTGACAATAGGAACGTCTCAGGCTGGAGGTCTGGCACCAAAATCAAGGTGTCAGCAGGGCCTCGCTCCCCCCAGGGGCTCCAGGGAGGGCCCTCCCTGCTTCCAGCTCCCAGCTCCCAGCTGCCTGCATGGTCACATGGCCTCGCTCTGTAGCCTAACCTCCCTCTGCTCCCTAAAGGACACAGGTGGCATTTAGGGCCAACCAGAGAGCCCTGGACAGTCTCTCATCTCAAGGTCTGTACGTTAGGCCCATCTGCAAAGCCCCGTTTTGCCACATAAGGTCACATTCGCAGGCTTTGAGACTAGGATGTAGGCATCTTTGGGGGACAGTATTCAGCTGATGACCCCCATCTAGCTGGGCTCCTCACACATTTAGGGGACGTAAGAATCACCCATTAGGGCAAACCTGCCAGAGCAGCTGGCCAACAGTTAGGGGAGGACCACAGACACCACCTCCTCGTCCTCCTCCTGCCCAGGCCCTCGGGGAGGTCAGGGGCGCCCTCTAAGGACTGCTGAAGCATGTTCAGGCTCCCTGCCATGGGTGGGGGGTCAGCAGAGGGAAAGAAGGGGAACAGCAGAGCTCTCCTAAACACCCCAACACTCCTGGTTCAGCTTCCGGCCTCTGTGTCCAGGCACCCCTTGTTGAGGAAAACTTCCCGAAAACCAGAGCGCTCCCCACATCTGCCTGCTTGTAGGACTTGAAGTCAGGGCACCCGGAGAACTGGGTGTGTTTAGAGAAGAAGCTGCTATTCGTTTGCACTGCCACCAACATAAGCTACGTCATTAATAAGCTCCTTAAAAAAGCGTCCTGTCCGCTGGCGCCTGGCACCTCGTAGTGGCACACCCCGGGGAGGGGGCGTCCCTCAGATGCTGTGAGCACACCTTCAACATTCTATAAAAGCTGAAAAACAAAGATCGTGAGCGCCTTGCTGTGGCTGAGTGAAGTGCTGGGGACCTGCTGCTGGCTGGGGCTGGTCCCCAGCGGTCACCCACCTGCGCAGGTGGGCACCGGCCGCTCCAGAGCCAGGTCCTGGGCTGAGGCCTCAGGCATTGGTGCTGTGGGTCAGGACCTCCTTCCTGACGGGATCCCTGAGCCGCCAGCCCCAGGGGTGGGCAAACCTGGGCTGTGAGAGAGTCCAGGAGGGGTGCCGTGGGGCTGAGGTCTCCAGTAAGGCCTTGAGGCTGGAGCCGGGCCGCGTGTCTGTGGCAGGTGGTCCCACGTGTGTGGGGAGTGGGTTTCAGGCTGTGTGTGGTGCCTGTGACCCCCAGAGGCCTGGCCTCAGTCCTGGCTGCAGCCTTGCCCCCGTGTCGTCCGGCATGTCCAGGGCTGCTCACTGCCCAGAAGGGGACAAGGGTCTCCTCAGGTAACAGTGAGTCACCTAGGCTACCGCAGGGTCTGGCCACACCTGTGCCCACTGCCCACCAAGGCCTTGTCCAGTCTGAGGAGACCTAGGCTCATTCTCTTTCCGATGCTCCGAGGGCCAGGAGAGATGTGGCCTGGGCAGCGCCAGGCAGCTCTGGGACAGGGGGGACTGAGGGGGTCACAGCTGTAGGTGGGTCTCCAGGGCCAGGGTCTTCACGAGGTCTTTTTACATAATTACAGACATGATGACAGCCTCCTGCCCCTCTCTCCCACCCCCACTGCCCCGTGCCCCCTGGACTGAGGCCCTTCTGGGGTATCCAGTTCTTGGGCCCAGTGAAGGGGCTTTGCTGACGCTCCTGCCAAGAGGGCCTGGAGGAGCACTTGGCAGAGATGGTGCTTGTAGGTGGAAAGGGCTTTCCGTCCTCAGGTTTTGAGACATTTCCTCATGGGGGCACAACCAAGAAAGATAGTGAGGGCCTGAGGAGACAGTGTGGGGCTCTGCACCCCCGCTCAGGGGCTGTGTGGGGGCTCCAACAACAGGTGACTTTGGGTACAGCTGCCCAAGCTTCAGCTGTCCGTGTTGCTCCAGGTGAGGGCCTGAGGAGACAGTGTGGGGCTCTGCACCCCACCCAGGGGCTGTGTGGGGGCTCCAACAACAGGTGGCTTTGGGTACAGCCGCCCAAGCTCCAGCTGTCCGTGTTGCTCCAGTGGGCAGGCGCGTGGAGGGAGGCAGTGCCGGGTGTGGCAGAGTAGGCTCGACCCGAGAGGGGCTTGGCCAGGGCGGGGCCAGGGAGGGCCTCGCCTGGGTCGCCCCTGCCCACCACCCCTGTTTCCCCCCCAGAGCTGTACGTGGCCCAGTGCACCCAGCGGCCCGTGGACATCGTCTTCCTGCTGGACGGCTCCGAGCGGCTAGGTGAGCAGAACTTCCACAAGGCCCGGCACTTCGTGGAGGAGGTGTCCCGGCGGCTGACCCTGGCACGCAGGGACGATGACCCACTCAACGCACGCGTGGCGATGCTGCAGTTTGGGGGCCCTCGCGAGCAGCAGGTGGCCTTCCCACTGACCTCCAACCTGACGGTCATCCACGAGGCACTGGAGAGCGCGCGCTACCTCAACTCCTTCTCACACGTGAGCTCGGGCATCGTGCACTTTTTTTTCTCACGGATGGCGTCACGGGCAACGACAGCCTGGACGAGGCCGTGCACTCCATGCGCAAGCAGAACGTGGTGCCCACCGTGGTGGCCGTGGGCGACGACGTGGACATGGACGTGCTCTCCAAGATCAGCCTGGGCGACACGGCTGCCGTCTTCCGTGAGAAGAACTATGACAGCCTGGCCCAGCCCGGCTTCTTCGACAGGTTCATCCGCTGGATCTGCTAGCGCCCCACCCACCCCGGCGCGCACCCCCAGCCCTGCGGGCTCTGTCCTCCTGTCCGTGGTGCTACTCAGATCCCGCCAAGAGAGGTGCAGAGCGCTGCCGACCCGACCTCTCCAGTGTGGGTATAAAGTCAGGAGTGGAGTTCCCCTCCCCACCCAGCTCTCCCCAGGGTCCTGCAGCCCTGCTGCCCTCCACCCCTTCTCTCTATCCCGTGACACCCTACTCTCCACACCCTTCCTGGTCCCCAAAGGCTTCCCGGGATGTGCTTCAGACCCTCATCAACAGGCCCATTTCCCCCTCAGCCCAGCGTCATCCCTGGACTCTCATCCACCTTCCAGGGCCCCCAGAGGCTCTCTGCCAGCCCCCCTGGCCCAGCTCCCAGGTCTCCACCTCACCTCTGAGGGTCGTGCCCCCATCAGACAGAGCTGTGACAGCAGGCCCTCCATGTCCCTATATACACACACCTCAGTCCAATAAAGGCTTTGAACCACCTCCTGCTCCCCAGCCTCCATGTGTCTGTGCCCACTGGGACCCCGCAGAGGCCAACTGGACTCTCCGACCGTTCACATGCCCACCAGCATTTATCATCCCAACCCCATTCCCACCCACACACACACACTTGCTCTGTGCATGGAGATGATGTCTGGCCTGGCCTCCTCGCATGTGGCCCGAGGGCTGTAGTTTGAGGACCCCTGGTCCACACCATCCCCAAGTGCATTGACTGGATGGTCTTGTCAACCTTAAAATTATCATTAGAACAGGTGCTGCCTCCAGCACTGACTGTCCACACCATCCCCAAGTGCATAGACTGGATGGTCTTGTCAACCTTAAAATTATCATATTACCAGCAAAAGTGGGTCTACTTGGGAATAGCAGTTCAGGACATGCAAACTTTGGCAAACCCATAGGCAAGTCTGGAGAACAAAGGAGGGGAGCATTACTTTATAGAGAAAAAGGAGGAATTGGGAGGGGTAATTAGGAGTGGAAGTCCATTGGAGGAGAGTGAGCATTCAGGTGGCTTCTCATTGGCCAGGCTGTTGCTGGGCGAGGAGAAAATCTTCCTCTTTCCTGGATAGTAAAATGGTCTTTTTGTGGGGGAGTACACGGTAGCTTTCTTCCTGCTGGAGTCTGCAGATGGCAGAGAGAGCTCCACCTTCAGGGCTTCCCCACATCAATTTTAATGAGGTTTCCTTTGTTCACTTTCACAGCCTCAACCTGTCTCGTCAGCTTTAGGCTGAAAGCAATGTTACTTGGTCAATGAAGCCTCCCTCTCTCTTCAAACCAGGGCCAAAGTGCTTTAAAATGTCAGTTGGTTTGCAGGAGGATATTTTGTGTATAGCTAGATAGATAGCTTTTTTCCTGGCAACCTCGGTGACTTCTTGTTCGACTCCCAGGTCTTTTAAGCTCACCCTTTGGGAAGTGCCCTATTAAACCATTGGCTCCCACAGGCCGATGCTCTGCTCTCGCCATTCAGTTTCCTGGGGCTGCCCTAAACCAGTGCCACAGGCTGTGGCTTAAACCACGGAGACCGACTGTTTCAGTCTGGAGGCCCCAGCGAAGGCTCTGGGAAGGATCTGCTCCAGGCTTCCTCCAGCTCCTGCTAGTTCCAGGATTTCTCAGTATCACTCCATCTTCACGTGCTGTTCTCTCCGTGCATGTCTGCCCATAATTCCCCTTTTCATAAGGACATTTTGGGTTAGGGCCCATCCCACTCCAGTACGACCTCATTTCAACCTAATTACATCTGCAAAAACTCTATTTGCAAATAAGGTCAAATTCTGAGGTATTGGGGGCTAGAAATTCAACATGGGAACTGGGGCAGGGGGAGACACACAATTCAGCCCAGAACATGCTGACACCTTGCTCGTCCCTGTGTGGGGATGACGTTCCTTTTGCGGTACTTCCATCTCTCTCATCACCTGCCTACACAGCCTGCAGCTGGAGCAGGACTTTAAACCAAGCATTTTCTCATCCTTTCCCCCTTTTTTCCTCCCACTAAAGAACCGTACAAACCGCCAGCGAAAGAAAGAGAGACCTGCAGCCACCCAGAGCCTCCCCGTGGCACAAATGCCTGTGGATTTCTGGGTCGGAAGGGTGGCGGGAAGCACAGGCCCCTCCCTCCGTGTGTCTGCAGTTCTGCCCACCAGACCCTGCCCAGGGTCCCCTCCGTAGGGAAAAGATGTCCTCTTTCTGCCACTGGCCCCTGCACGCTCAGCCTTTGGCCCTCAGGAGGCAAGAACCTCTGTCCTTTCGGAAGGGACGTACAACACCCATGAGTGGGTGGCTGGGCCCTTGGAGGGTGCCGGCCAGCTCTGAGCCCCACAGAGTGCAGGCCCTGCTGGTGTCCACTGAGTTCTCCCCTGGGAGCCCCAACATCCCAGAGGGCCAGGGCGCCAAGCCCCTCTCGGGGCTGCACTCTGAGCCCCATGTCTCCATCCCTTAGCCCCTCAGCGACCCTCAGACACACCTCCTGCCATGTGTGATGTTTGAGTTAGGATTCTATGATGGTTTCATACAGGAGCCTTCACTTCATACACATGGGGCACCCTCGGACTCTCCACAATGTCCTGGGTTTTGACTGAGTAATACAGCCTCCCCCTGCAGCAAGCTGGCCCTCACTCACTCACTGCTGGAGGGACATCTTCTCCAGCATCCCCAGCCCCAGGGCCGATGTTACAGCGCCCACTGCACAACTGTCCTACTCCACCTGGAGCCCCTTCAGGACCCTGGCCCCTCGCTCTGACCCCATTGTCAGCTCGGTGCAGGGGACATCTAGACCTGGGCCCCTACGTGGGGCTGGGTCTTGTCTTGTTGCCCCTAGTCCCAGGGGAGTCTCTATTACACGCCCTCCCCCCACCCCCCTGCCTGGGTCTGGCTGCCCAGGCCCTGCAGGGGACACAGCAGAATGCAGACAGGCTGGGGGCTTGGGGGTGGGGAAGCTGCCCTCCTGGGACCCCGATCTCCTGGCCACATCCCCCCAGCCTCCATGTGAGAGAAGTCAGTACCTGGCACCTTGTCTTCCTGGGACCCTGGGCTCAAAGCTTCTCCCCCTCGTGGCCAGGACACAGGAAACTCGGCGCATCACGGCCACCTCCCCGGGAACTCTGACACCTGCTTCTCCTCACCCTCGCTGCCCTGAGTGTCACCCAGCCACCCGCCCTGCAGCGCCTGCCCACCACTCCCCACACCAGGAGTGATGCGATTGGAGGGAACCTGCTACTCCATGGGGACGGTGCCCCAGGCACAATCCCAAGGCCGCTTGCCCTGCACCAAGCCCCAGGGGCTCTGAGTGACCAGTGACTGGGCTCAGGCCTCGTCACAGCTCCCCCTGGAGCTGGCATGTCCCTCGTGCTCCCCATTTCCTCCCATCTCCCCAGCTCACTCGTCACCAGTCCCCGCCCCTGCCCACTCAGTTCAGCCCTTTCCCCAAAACCCCAAACACTACACAGGCAAGGGTGTGCTGTGACTTTACTAGAGGCCACAGGTGACAGTGGGTGGCACCGCCAACCTCAGGCCCCCCCCCCCACGCCCACCCTGTGGGCCTCATGAGGACTGTCCCAGAAGCCGTCCTGTCTTGTTAGGCAAGCTGGACCCTATTGGAAAGGAGCGGGGGCGCTGGGGTGCTGAGTCCAGTTAGGGCCCCTCCGGCCATCACTCCTGCCGCTCCTCCAGGCGGTCCAGCACCAGCGCGGCCTGAGCCTTGGCTTCCTGCAGGAGGCTGGAGATGCGCTGGCGGATCTGACAGACAAGGGGCCAGGTCAGCACCTTGCAACTTAGCCCATCCCTGCTGGCCCAGGCCCTCCCTGCCCCCTCCCTGGGCCCCCTCCGGCCCAAGCTCCCTGGCCTCTCCACTCAGATGACTGGGCCATCCTGGACCTCCTAGTAGAGATGGGAGGGATCTGTCTGTCCTGAGGTTTGGGGACAGCCAGGCTCCAGGGCCCCCTCCCTCCTGGTCTTCCCACTTTAGCCATGACTGCCCAGGGCAGGGCTGTGACCCCAAGGCCCAGAGGGGCAGTGTTCATGTGGTCAGTCCTTTAACTCAGTGCCCTTGTGGTGGACAGTGACTTCCCTGAGGATGGCCAACCTCAGCCTGGCTGGACCAGGCAGAGGGGGACAGGGCCTGGCCCCTAAAAAGGCCACGGTGCCCCCATTCTCAGTTGTGAAATCGCTTTTTAACAATTATCACAAAATCACAGAGAGAAATCACATAGCTCAGGGGGCTGGGGCTGGGGCTGGGGACTGGGGACT